CACACTTCTTCGGTCGCCTTTCTTGGCTACATCGTGGGTCAAGGAAGATGGAGATGGATCCTTCTAAGGTTTCAGCAGTTACCTCGTGGCGGGTCCCTGATTCCCGGAAGGAGCTGCAGCGTTTCCTGGGATTCGCCAACTTTTACAGACGGTTCATCCGTGGCTACAGCACCGTGGCCGCCCCGCTCACCGCCCTGACCTCGTCCAAGGTGACGTTCCGATGGTCCCCTGCAGCCGAGGAGGCTTTTCAGGACCTCAAGGGCCGGTTTACGTTGGCTCCTATCCTGCAAGTACCAGACCCCACTGGTCAGTTGGTGGTGGAGGTGGATGCTTCTGACGTAGGGGTGGGGGCCATCCTGTCGCAACGTTCTGGTGAGAACCAGAAGCTCCACCCCTGTGTTTTCTTTTCGAGGAGATTGAGTCCGGCGGAGAGAAACTATGACGTGGGGAATCGGGAGCTTCTAGCAGTCAAGTTGGCATTGGAGGAGTGGCGACACTGGCTTGAGGGGACAGAACAACCATTTCACGTTTGGACCGACCATAAGAACCTGGAATACATCAGGTCGGCACAAAGACTGAATTCCCGGCAAGCCAGGTGGTCGTTATTTTTCACCCGGTTTAATTTTTTCCTCTCCTACCGCCCGGGCTCCCGCAACGTGAAGGCCGACGCTTTGTCCCGGCAGTTCGGGAGGGAGGGAGACACCAGGGGTATTCCGGACACTATTCTTCCTGCTCCTCGAGTGATCTGCGTCCTCGCTTGGGAGATTGAGGAGAGGGTTAAGACCGCTTTGGTGGACCAACCCGGTCCTAGTTCTTGTCCTCTCAACCGTTTGTTTGTGCCTCAGGTTTTGAGGGCTGAGGTGCTTCAGTGGGCTCACAGCTCCAGACTTTCCTGCCACCCTGGAATTCAACGTACCAGAGGGATGGTCCTACAACGGTTCTGGTGGGCCACGCTGGAGGCTGACACCCGGGAGTTTGTGAACGCCTGTCCTGTGTGCAATCGGCACAAACCATCTCATCAAGCGCCAGCTGGCTTCCTTCATCCATTACCGGTCCCACGTCGCCCTTGGTTACATATTTCATTGGACTTTGTGACTGGTCTACCACCATCCCACGGACATACTGCCATCTTGACGGTGGTAGATCGGTTTAGTAAAATGGCTCATTTCGTACCCCTGACTAAGATCCCGTCAGCTAAGGAGACGGCAGAACTTATTCTTCTCCACGTTTTTCGCATTCACGGACTGGCGACTGATGTGGTTTCCGACCGGGGGCCCCAGTTCACCTCTGTGTTTTGGAGGGAGTTTTGTGAACTGATCGGGGCGACGGTCAGTCTCACCTCCGGTTTCCACCCACAGGCCAATGGCCAGACCGAACGGAAGAATCAGGAGATGGAGACCACTCTCCGCTGCATGGCTTCCGATCATCCAACGACCTGGTCAAAACAACTTCTGTGGGTGGCGTATGCCCACAACACCCTCATCAGTTCCGCTACTGGTCTTTCCCCTTTTCAGTGTGCATACGGTTTTCAACCCCCATTGTTCTCTGCATTGGAGAAGGAGGTTACCTGTCCGTCTGTCCAGGCTTTCATCAGACGTTGTCGGAGGACTTGGAGGCAGGCTCGAACAACTCTGCTTCAGTCTGCTAACCGGTACGCCACATCAGCGAACCGCCGACGCACCAAGGCACCTGTGTACCAGGTAGGCCAGAGGGTGTGGCTTTCCACTCAGAACATTCCCCTTCGGGTGGAGTCTAAGAAGTTAGCGCCCAGGTTTATTGAACCCTTCAAGATTGTCAAGGTCATTAACCCTGCAGCAGTTCGACTGAGTTTGCCCCGGAACATGAAGATCCATCCCACCTTCCACGTTTCTAGGATTAAACCTGTCCGGGAGAGTCCTATGATTTCCGCCGCCCCTCCACCACCACTCCCTAGGATGATCGATGGGGGTCCTACCTACACCCTTCGTCGTCTACTCCGTTCCCGTCGCAGAGGAAGAGGGGTTCAATATTTGGTGGACTGGGAGGGCTATGGTCCAGAGGAGAGGCAGTGGATTCCTGCTCGTCATATTCTCAACCCTCAACTCATCCGAGACTTCCACCTGCGTTACCCGGAGCAGCCTTCTAGGACCCACGCTCAACCAGGCGTTAAGCCAGGAGGTACTCGTCCGCTACAGACCAGAGGCTTCGTCGAGGAGGAGGGGGAAGCGTCATCAGTCGAGGAGGACGAGGATTTCCAGGAGGGAGAGGCCGAGAGAGCATTCTCAGATGAGTACTAACCTTTCCCATACCTACACCTTCCACCCTGTGTCTGTAGGGTTTTTGTTGATTCTTCTTTAATTTTTTTTTTTCCTTTTTTTCTCTCTCCTAGAATTTTCTTAGACGTCAGGAGCCATCCATTAAGGGGGGGGTTCTGTCACAGTCTGCTTTCTCACTCACCTATTTTCTGCATTAACATTCCTTAGTCACCTGGTAGTCACACCCTGTCTCTCTCTCTCACTCTGTTACACCCATCAGCTCCATTAGTATTTAGGCCCACTTCACTTTCACCTCAGTGCCAGATCGTACTTTGCAGCATGCCAGTCTTTCCCGCATTACCCTCCAGATTGCTCTCCCGGTTTCGACCCTGCCTGTCCCTGACCAGCCTGCCTCGCCTGCTCCCTGACCCGTTCTGTACCTGCGACTCCCGTCCTGCTTTCTCCTGGAACCCTCGCCTGTCCCCGACCAGCCCTTTGCCGACTATCTGCCGTTTTGTCTCCTACCAGCATATTGTCTTCAATAAAGCTGGTTGCCGACTATCCCTGGTTTCCCGTGTTCTGCATTTTGGTCCTCAGCTCGTTTGTGACAGTAGTACATATGCTGGGCTGTACTTCCGCCACAAAATACACCAAAAGCAGCGAAGAAGACCCCCCGAGCATGGTTGCCATGGTTGCCTGGTTGCCCTTCTGGTTATTCTCCGCGGTGGATTTAGCAACATGTAGTTCATGTAGTTCTCCATGTCCCCTTGTTGCTGATGGTTGTGGTAGAGGAGCTGTAGATTTTTGCACTAACATCTGTATCATGGTTAGTAACGTCTGGAGCACGAACGCAACCCTGTGATCCGGCATTGTTGTTGTTGTTGGCGAAACGCAACAGCAATGACGCGAGTGACGCAGGGGTGAGCAGGAGAGGTGGGGAGAGGCGGGGCTATGATCGTTTTAGGGCATACACACGGTGCCGCAAGCATTACGTTACCAGACCTTCCCACTTTGGGATGCGTTACCGTTTGAGGGCTCAGTTTCCGCTGTTCTGTTACGGCCTTGTGTGGACGAACCGTCCATACGATAAAGAACTATAGCAGATAACACCCGTTTCGTCTCCATGTGGACAGGGCCTAAGACTTCACATATGTGCTTCAGTTAATTGGTAGTTAAAGCAATCACATAATAAAATAAAATAACTGTTTCAATGATAATAATGATTGCTAAAGCTTAATTGGGAAATAAGTGAGAGATTTTCCATCATCACAGAAGGGGGTAAGTTGAGCCAGTGGGTAAGTTGAACCACCCCCTGTAACCAGGCAACGCCTTACAGTTGTAATCACGTGATCAGAAATTATGCAAGCTCCTCCCATTTATCATTGCCTGTGAAAGAGAGATGCTCATTGTGGTCTGGTAAGTAAACATTTTTACAAAAAAAACTTTTTTGCTTGTCAAAGTACATTTTCTAGATGTCAGCTGTATCGGCTGTCATGTAAAAAAAAAAGTATCCAGGTTTAAACACATATATTGTATATGTTGATGTGTTGGCAGCGTATTAAACCATGTGAATCATTAGCTAAAGATGACTCTGAATTGTAATGCTAGGCTATTTTTTCTAAAATGGTGGCTATGGGGTAAAGTGAACCATGGGCCGTGGGGTAAGTTGAGCCAGTTTTTCAATGGAGAAATTAGTGAAAGTAGGCCAAGTTGATAATAAGAGCTACATTTAAAGTTGAATTTACCCTGTGTTTGATTGGTAAGATGTATGAAATTGTATCATCACATTGTATCATTTGTATGATTACTTTTCCTTTTAACATGTTCAAAAAATCAATCAATTCAATCGAAATTTATATTAAAAATATTTTAAAAACTAAACTTGTATTTGGTTTGTTATTTATTGTTTATAGTTACCTTTAAGATGTGTTGTAGGTATGCCCAGGTTTGAACAGTGGTTCAATTTACCCCCTGACCTGGATCAACTTACCCCTAACCCGGGGCAAGTTGAGCCACAAGACCACTTTTTTTTTAGAAGTAATATTTTCACTGCCCTTGATTAAATATGAATTCTTATCATTGCCATTGATAGGAGACATCCTGAATTATAGGTGTGTGTTTTCATTTTTACTATGTGTCATTTCTCCTTGCTTAGAGGACAGCATAACTAAACAATTGCTCAATTTACCCCACTCTCCCTATGGGTGAAAAGTAATTACAATCAGTGTAGCTTAGACATCCTTCCACTCATTTTTTCCTATTGGAATCACCCTGGAGACAGCCTTGACCCTTGTTTTGCATCTTTCTAGCTAAGGTGAGAAGTAGCGTCAGTGGAAAAGGGTATCCAGCTGACGCCTGAGCAGGTTAGACTTTAAGGACGTCCCATGTTAAGAAAGCGTTACGCCTAGCAAAGATGAGGGATAAGAGTTCTCACAATGTTCGAAATTGATATACCACAAATCTTATAATTTGTTTTGGAATGTCTTGAAAATACCTAAATTAATGAGTTAATGTTAGTAATTTTGTTCACAGAGCCAACGGAAAATACGCTAAATTTACATAGTCTCTGCATATTTTATAACTGCCTGCATTAAACTGTTCTCAGTGTCCCCAATGTTATATATATTCGAGTAATGAATTGTTAGTTTATAGACGATCTTTGTACTTGAGTAACTGCATTGGCCAATGAGACTCCTTGGGGGCGTGGATTTCCGGCGGTCTGGTGCGGTCACAGTGCAGAGTGGGCGTTTGTCTCCTACCTCCTACTCTAGCTCATACATGACTTCAGGACTACCGTTACACAAGTTGGGAGACAAGTGGTGAGGTAACAGCCACAGTCCGTAGAGAAAGATGACGGAAAGCTCCGCAAATAAGCTGCTAAACGGGGACGCCTGTCACCGAACCTCAAACGGTAAAAGGTCGAGTAAAAATGGCTTCGTGAAGAACCACTGTGTGTTTCAGCAGCCACAGAGGTACCGTCGCCCCAGGGAGAAGGTAAGGCCCAACACTCCGGGGGGGGGGCGTAAACAGCAATGGATGTGTTCGTTAACTCTGCAATAGTTTGAATGAAAAATAATGTTAGCGAATATTCTAATAACGTCTTTATCCCCCAATGTTATTCTTCGACTTTACATTGTTGTTTTGAATATGTTTGCACACAGAAAGTTACCCTACAGCACCTCATTTGAAAACTGTGTGACATAAGCCTGCTAATGTTTATGAATTGCTATATCCTACATTACAGCCATATTACAAATTAGTAGACCCCTATTACACCCATGTTACACCGTTATTACACCCAGGTAACACACATTACACTGTTATTAGAACCATATTATGCTCAAGTAAAATAAATATTACACCTATATTATACTGTTATGAGACCCACATTACACCCATGTAACTCCAATGTTACACCCATATTACACCCATTTTACACTGTTATTACACCCATTTTACACATGGCCTGTCAAATGCCTGTATCCCCCAGGATACAGAACCCATTGAAGGGTTAACGCTTGTCTAGCATTTTGTCCTACCCTCGCAATTTGTCCCAATGCGACATTTTTTAAGGTGGCTGTTACCAATTGCAACCCAGAACTACATTTCTCACACTTACATTTTAATTACATGACTTTCGACATTCTGATTTTGATTACATCGTGGTTTTAAAACCAAATGATATACCCTGTAACCGGTTTTATGTGCTATGAAAGGTGTACTTCCCTATGCGTTTTATACTTCCTCTTTTGTCGTACCTGACACCTGATCAGGGATGATTGTGATGGTGACTTTTTGTTGTAACCTTACACTCTGTTGTTTCTCTGTATGTGTGTGTGGGTGTGTGTGTGTGTGTGCGTGCGTGAAGTCAGTTTGGTCTCTGTTTACACTGACTCCAGTGTGAAGAAGAGCAGGGCCCTGTTGTGTTATTATCCCCAGAGAAGCTGACTGTCTGTCTCCTGGAAAAGGAGGGGGGATGTAGAGCAGAGCCTGCTTCCTCATGACACTCAAGCAGGAGTGGAATGTCTCCAGGCAATGAAGGGTGTGGTCCCCCCTCACAGTGTTGAATGAAAACACTGTGTGTGTGTGTGTGTGTGTGTGTGTGTGTGTGTGTGTGTGTGTGTGTGTGTGTGTGTGTGTGTGTGTGTGTGTGTGTGTGTGTGTGTGTGGAGGTGGGGTACACACACATGCCTTTTGTTTTGCTTTTTTGTTGATGTTTTGGTTGAAAACAGACAGTAATCTAAAAAGCACGTATACTAAACAAAATGCATCTCTCTTATATATGACAATATCAAATAGTATTCGTCATCCTTTTGCAAATGGTGTCTCCACCCTGCCAGACAGAGCTGCACGTCACATATGTGTCTTATTCCAAGAAGAAACAGGGAACTACTTACTAAAATTGAGAGTGTCCCTATTAGGTAGCTTTCGCATGTACAAAGCAGGCGATGCACTCAAATTCTATTTTCTCTATCTGTTTCACCTGGGGAGAATGTCTGTTTATTCCAAATGTGAAGTAATCGTGGGCACAATTTATGACTGATTCCCCCGCCCCATAGTCTGCATATGGAACATATTTGAAATGTGTTCCCACGTCACATATCTTCCGAAAGTTATGACACTTAAATGGCATTTTTTAAATGGGCAAACCACTTTGCTCAAGTCTGACTTGTCTGTCACTATCTAAGCTTACTAATACTTTAGACTGCACCCACTTAGGAGATGTAAATGGTACAGCATTTATACCTGATTGGCGCTGTTTGTTATGCTTCATCTTTACTTATAGAGCATCTTTGACACCATGTAAATCATTTACCAGTCTTTGCGAGGTTAGTCATGCTCTGGATCGATATCACCACGGTAAAAGTGACATCATCCTGTTGTGATATGGGCTCTGTCAGTTCTTGATAAGGCAACTGACACTTGACTTCAACGTACTTAAGCCTTTGTTTGCAAGAGGAACCAGGGTGTGTAACAAGGGTGTGTTTCTTGAGGCTTAAGTGTTTCTCAGATGAGCAAATAAAACGTCTGTCTAAAAACTCTTACTCACAAGTAACGACTTTAGAAGGAGTGTACAAGGAACCTATAATGACATTGATGTATGTTAAAGGTTGTTTTCTAACCTGTCCTGAAATAACATTTAAAACAAATGAAAATACATAGCCTAGCTTACCGTATCGCAATACTTTACATTGTATAACCCTGTATCATGATAGCTGATTCTCTTCCATTACACATCGCTACTATTTAGACCTTCTTACAATATTTCTGAGTCTCTTTGACAAATCAGCTATAAATGTTCTCCTAGGTTTGTGTCCATTGCTGGAAAAGTAATATTTCCTTATCAAGCTAGACATAATCCCAATATTGAGTGTAAAGTATATATTTGATAAAGATTAAAGAAGAATCTCTCTCTAATAGCTTTCAGTTTTGATTGTAGTGTCAATATTGCTCACTAAAATGTAGGCAAAATTGAACATGGCACTATTTTGACTGGCAGGTAGAGGACTTACTCCCTTATTTACCTACTCTTAGGCCAAATGCAAAACATACACACTATGCCCAAAGCTTTCCTGTTACCCCTATAGTGTAATACGATCATCATGTATTGAATTGCAGAGCATTTTTCCACAGCGTTTACCTCAGGTCAGGTCTTCCTCTCTCCCTGTTTGTCCACAGGTATAAATGATTTAGCAAATATGGCGTCAGTTAACCTGCATTTAGCCGCTGTGGTCGGCATCAGTATGCAACAGTCTCTTTGAACAGTGTTTTTGTGCTCAATGTTTGACATCTCCCAAACCTCCAGGTCCCTTCAATTTCTTTACTTGGGAATACGGGACTGGTTGGACTGGTTTTAGACCCACACACAAAGTGCAGCGCTCTCCTGTTCCCTGGCTCAGAGGTATTTCTTGGAGGAGCATGACTGGTCACATGAGGCCTGGTTGCTAAGCAGCGGGGCACAGCCTGTAATAAGTAACCTTCCTCATTTGTTTAATGCTGCTTTTGTAGACAGCCGTTCCACAGTGCACTCCCAAATGATGCTCGTATTTTTTTTATTTCAGCTTTTTTGAGCTCCTCTAGTGTGTGACCACATTTATAGGATCTCATAATCCACGGTCGATATTTCTATTCATAAAACTTGATGAATTAGAACCATGGATTGATGGTTATTTTCCTGCTCACTGAGCTGTAAAGGCATGGTTAGGTCTCTGTGAATTCATGTGCTTATTGTAGCCTTTATTAGGTTTCTAACTCTTTCCAAGGAAAACACATTATACACACTGCTGTCCACTAGTGAGTGTTTGTCCAGATCACAATCACAATTTATTGGGCTCTCTTGTAGGGCAGATTCAACGAGTAAACAGACTTAGATCGTAGATACACCATTACCCTTTAAAGGAGAACCCACCAGATGAAATGCTTGACTTCTAAATATGTGCCCTTGCTTCATTTGTTATCTGTATTGCCCCCCAGAACCAAAATGTCACACGCAACTCCAGCCTGTACAAGAAGCCTTTCTCGGAATCGTTTGAGGAGACGCCCCTTCTGGTGGCCGTGCTCACCTACATGGGCTACGGCATCCTCACCGTCTTCGGCTACCTCAGAGACTTCCTTCGCTACTGGAGCATGGAGAAGTGCAACGTGGCTCAGGAGAAGGAGGAGCAGAAGGTAAAGTAGACCCCATTGCATGCAAATGCTGATTTAAGTGACTTGTGAAGGTATTCAAGATCATTCGCTCACTGAGGACATGAAGCCATGGCTTTAGTCAGTCAAATTCATTTAGCCTTTTTTATTTTGAGAGTTGTAGCTCACCTGCAGTTTTGGGACTTTGTTCCTGATGTATGGTGCATAAAAACTGATACCTGAACAACGCTTGTCTGACTGATCCTCGAAAAAACTGTGGTACAAGTACAATTTCGCAAGTCTTCCACACTCTCTGTCACACCGTTTTAATATCTGGTTTGAACAGAAAGTATTTGACTGTGCCCTTATCTGATGCAACACAAAGATGGCCTCTTGGGAATTTTTGGAATTGCTAAGACATGCCATTCAGATATCCAACACTCTACCATATCCCCCCCCCACCCTGCAGGATTTCGTCCCACTCTATCAGGACTTCGAGAACTTTTACACCAGGAACTTGTACATGAGGATCCGAGACAACTGGAACAGACCCATCTGTAGTGTCCCCGGTGCTAAGATGGACCTGGTGGAGAGGGCTTCCCACGACTACAACTGGACTTTTGAGTAAGTTACTTCACTCTGTGTGTGTGTGTGTTTGTGTGTGTGTGTGTGTGTTTGTTTTTGATACCGTATCAAGGCGTTCCCCCAGAGGTGTGTTTCTGTTCTACTGATTCTTTGCTCAACAGGAAGTTCACTGACCTCTTTCTTTCTGATAATAAGAGTGACGTAAGCCATTCAGAAGCACCAGTATCTATCACATGGCCATATGCACTGTCATTGAACTCTGACATTTGAAGAGACAAAAAGTCCCGATAACAGCGAATGTTGTGTTATATTTTCTGTATTAATATTATCAAAGTATGATCAGTATAATGTGATCTCCTCCAGCTCATTCAGTGGGACTAGGCCTGGGCAACATATCCATTATTTTTGTTATCAACAGTGTGACATGAGACCACATATTGTCTTAGGTTTTGTTACATGACACAAAAGGGATTCTGAATTTCTTTTCTTAGTTTGACCATACATTTGCTTTTTTCAAAAACACATTTTTTACATACTGTATAAAAAAAGTCAAAGAAAAAAATTGATTTCAATCCAAATGCAGAAAAATAAAGCTATATAATGTTTATTAATAAATAATAATAACACAAATCATCCCACAGCATGAATAAAAACATTACAATTCTATAAATAATAATGATATTAAGGGGAATAAAAAACAAGCGTATTTAGATTAAGATACTCAATGATATATATATATATATATAAAGGTGGCTAGGGGACCTAACACTTTTGTTTAAGTTATCATGCACTGTGATAATAGAGGGTAACATTGACCAGGAAATGGTAGCTATGCAACCAGGGCAGTCATGCACACACTTTAAAGATCATTATACTTATTAACCCTCTGATTTTCTCTCTCAGGGACACAGGCAGAGTGGTGAAGGACGTCATCAACATGGGATCATACAACTACCTCGGCTTTGCTGAAAACACTGGAGCTTGTGCCGATGCTGCTATCGAAGTCACAAAAAAGTACGGCCCTGGAGTGGGCAGCACTCGCTGTGAGATGGGTGAGTTCTCTTTCTTTAGAAGCTGTCAGGACTTTTTTCATCATCTCATACGGCTTTTATCTTAAAGAGTCAATAAATGCTCAAGTGGACCTCAGTTGTTACTTTAAAGGCTGCGCCCTCTTTTGTCAGTCACGCTTTCAGCACTACAATACTGGCTACAGGCTCCAAGTGGTTTTGAAGGACCGACAGGCTGAGTTTGAAATATCGTGAAAGCATTTTGAAAAGCTTTGAAGTTCCAGTCCATTTCATTTTATTTTGACATGTGCAGCTACTGATAGTTGATCACATCTAATCTTGTTATCTCTAGCAAAAGAAAAGCTACAATTCATGGTCTATTTAACTTAAAGGTGCCATGTGAGTATTCATTTTGGATAAACAAAAGCTTTGTTTACATACAGTGTTACTTACCACAACATTTTCTGTATATTCTTAAAGTCTACCAAAGATGTTGAATTGACATCCTATCCTTATATAACACAAGCAGCATTTGTCTTCCTTGCGTATGCCTCATTGAACAGCATGACGGGGTGTTACTGACACCTGTTGATCAGTGGAATAGCTTGATACCGATAGTGTAACTTGGGATGGCGTTACACTGCTCCATAGTGTTTCTAGAGGGTTAAGAGGCCCTATTATACTTGTTGTAGTTTTGCCTTTCCTGTGTAGTGTGTGCAAATGTTCTGCAATGGCTTGAATCCCAAATGTCCCTCCAGAGGGAGTTTCTCTCCCAGACACTCCCCCCTCTGCCTGAAACGCCTCCATTGTTTTACTTGCGCAACCTAATGACATCCCTTTGTAATACTTGTCTATTTGCTAGCGCTTCAACACATTGTACGTGATAAGCTAAGGGGGAGGACATCTTTAAGCAGTTGACTAATCACATCAGAGCCGGCCAGCTAACCAATCAGAGCAGACTGGGCTCTGGTTTCAGACAGAGGGTGAAAAGAGGTGCTGCAGCACAGGCAGTATGAGGAAAATAAAGACTTTTGTGAACATTAAAGCATGGAGACATGTCACTGTGGAGGCAGAAAACACAAATATGAAGCTTAAAATGAGCATAATAGGGACCCTTAAAAAAGTCCAAAGGGACTCTTTAAGATTTAACAGGTATAAGAAAACAAGTGTTGACCTAAATAGTACCTACTTATGACAATTTAGCAAATTGCAGTACACTAATAGGAAGTTGTAGTTAAACTAATGTTTTTTTCCTCTCTAGGAAATCTTGACATCCACGAGGAGCTGGAGCAGTTGGTGACCCGGTTTCTGGGTGTTGAATCATCCTTGGCTTTTGGGATGGGCTTCGCAACAAATTCCATGAACATTCCTGCTCTCACCGGGAAGGTACGGAATTTCATTCACTTCCTTTCTTCTGATTTAGATCTCACTGGAACATCCTGCTCCTTTTGATTTGATTACTTTGACAGTGTTTCTTTAGTCACAAGTACCCTTAGTGGAATTGTTTGGGTATGGGAGTGCCATTAACCTGTTCAGGAAACAATGCTTCGTGTGTAAAGTAAAAACAAGTTTTCAGATGTACAGCCACTTTCGAAGGGTTCAAACTGTTCCACAGCACTAGTTTCCGTTATAAGCTTTCAAAACATCTCGAGGGCCTTGGGGCGCTGTAGATTGATATTTGACAGCCACTGTTATTCTAACCTCAACGAACCACACATGTCAGTCTTTACTCGCGTCTTAACTTGACCTTTTTTCTTTCGCTAGCCAGTTTTCGCTTGAACAGGAAGTAGAACTGACAGGCTCGTGTACCTTGTGATTCAAAGAACACATTTCCTGACCACCGCATGAGTGGATAGCAGAAGGACTAGGAGGGAGAGACAAACTGGCTGCGAGACAGTAAAGATCTGAGTCACTGAGATTGTCACAAGGGTTTATTTATTCTTAACTGTACCTGTCACATTTCCGCTAGCTCATATCTATGTCATGCCATAATCATGTATTGTGTAACAAGCTCATTGAATCATTGGAAAGAGGGAATGGTCTGACCTTTGGAAATGTTAAGGTGTGTTGACTTTAACAGGTCGATAAGGTGTGTTTATTTTGAAACATTATTTATTGTATAATGAACAATTGACTGCGTTTGTACTTATCTGAGGGAGGGAGGAAACCATATCTTTGGGCGTATGTGGCTCAGGGGGGGGGGGGGGAGAGTGTTTATCAAGTAAGATGGTCAGTTGTTCAATCCCCAATCCCTAAAGTCAACATGCCAAAGTGTCCTTGAGCAAGATACTTTACCCCAAATTGCTACAGTAGGCATCTCTACAGTATAGAAGAATATGTAATCTGGATGGATATCCTCGTGGATTCATCTTCCTATTATACACACATGCATTTCCAAACATTTGGACTACCTATGTTGCAAATGTATTATCTTTTCAATTTACACACGGCATCTATTGCACGTCTGTCCGTCCTGGGAGAGGGATCCCTCCTCTGTTGCTCTCCCTGAGGTTTCTCCCATGTTCCCTTTAAACTATGGGTTTTCTCTGGAAGTTTCTCCTTGTACGATGTGAGGGTCTAAGGACAGAGGGTGTCGTATTGTCATACTGATATTCTGTACAAACTGTGAAGTCCACTGAGACAAATGTAACATTTGTGATATTGGGCTCTATAAATAAACATTGATTGATTGATTGATAATCTAAAGAGGCCCTTCTTTGCCTTTTTGGGGGGTTTCCCGCTCCTGTAGTGTTATATAGGCTTTTGTGCATGTAAATGGTCTGCAAAGGCTAAAATCCTTCCAGAGGGGGTTTCTTTTCCACACCCCAGACCCCGCCTCAATTAGAATTATGTTGTTACTTCCGTAACATAGTGACATCACTTAATCATCATCTTAATGTCGAAACCGATTATCAGCTAAGAAATACCAAGCTCTGCAATTAGTTAAAAAATCATATTTTGTATTTCTTTTTTTCAGGGTTGTCTTATTCTGAGTGACGAGCTGAATCACGCGTCGCTGGTGCTGGGGGCCCGCCTGTCTGGTTCCCCAATCCGGGTCTTCAAACACAACAGTGGGTGACCTCTTATACTAATTACATTACCTGATTAGTTACATAGAATTGTGACTCCCACACTACTACGTTTTAAAACTAAAGCGATATTCACGTAACAATGTTAGCATATTTCACAACTAATCTCAGCTCATACTAATAGCCTTAAAACGCATGTCACATGACCATTCACGTACACTGGGCATGCATGTGTCAGAAGTAACAGGAAGCCGATGTTCTACTCTTTACTCTGTCATTTTTTTGAACTTCTTATAATAAAAGGTGTTTTTTGATACATCTATATTTCCCACACATGCATTCTCACTCAATCAGAGTCACATTCAGTGGAGAAATCTAATTAATTTTTTTTTAAAGCAGCTACTAGGCTACTGCCACGTTACTAATGTATAGCCAACCTCTTTCTCTATCTTTCTCACTGACATCAAATTTACTTAAAAATAAGGAACAATTACAACGTTTTCTACATTAAAGGTCAAAACATTTGGTAAACACGCATCTAACTTGTTTAGCGCTGCGTCTTCTCGTAGGGTAAAACCACTGTTGTAGTTTAAGAAGAGGCCCCTTTAATGATCCCACAAGAGAAACTTAGTCTCTCACTTTGTTATTATATACATTATACAAAAACATACATGCAGAGGACATATTATCATTCGTCCTAAATACAATACGACTTTTTTTGTTGAGAGGTGTCAGAGCAAAGAGGCTGCCATGTTTTACAGCACCAGGAAGCAGATTGGGTTGAATGACTTGCTCAAGTCCACACTCAGTATTTTGGTCTGACTCGAACCGGCGACCCTTACAAAAGGAAGGACCTCCCTGTTAACTTCCACCGCTTTCCTCAATGCCGCAAACCCTTGCTTTAAACATTTATATTTCATATTAAATGCAGAATTTAAGGACTCGTTATGATGACCCAACCAGGAAGTGAATGTGGGTTCTGCGTCTTTGTCTCCAAAGGTTTCTGTTTCCTCCTCTTCAGACTATGATTTTTGAACTGAAAAGGAAACTAGAGATTGCCAGAGTGATTACAGAGCATCTTTCAACACTATGAGACAGGATTTAGCCTACATTTAACATGACTGAGGTACAGCACGTTGCTTAACCCAATGCCAATTTGACTTAACACCGGTTCTCTTACTTCTATAGTTCTAAACGTACTTAACAAAAACGTTATCTCTCTTTTATTTACCATATTGAATCGCAAAGCAGTTGTTTTGGCCCAGGATGAACACACACACAGTCACCAGAGATCTTACTGTTATCCAAGCTCACACTCAAACACCAAGAAGCAGCAGGTCGACTGCTAAGACAATGCTCTCGATGCTTCAAAGGGTCGTGATCATAAAATATTGACACTCATCCATTAATGAAAGAAAGCTCTCGTATAACTTTAGGAGAATAAAAGCTTTACTAAGACTATAAGTGTGTTCTTTGTGTGTTCTAGACATGATAAGCCTAGAGAAGCTGCTGAGAGATGCCATCGCACACGGGCAGCCGAGAACCCACCGACCCTGGAAGAAGATTCTCATTGTGGTGGAGGGAATTTACAGGTATACACTCAAATGTACTCTTACACATACAAACATACTGTATTTAGTTAGTAAGAGCTAAATAATTAGGTTTAGCTAATTCAAATTTCAGTTGTTATTGCTATTTAACTGTAAGAATTGTAATACCATTACTGTATCTCATTACACTGTGTTTACTGCCAATTACTTGAAACCCACAGCTGTCTGGGGGAGGACATATGAATCTGTATTTAGTTTATCTTGTGTATTGCATTGGTCGCATTCGAAGAAACATAAAAATACTCTCAGAAAAAGTCATATATTAAATATTTATGTTGTATTTTACTTGACATTGCCCTTGGTGTAATTGATATAAGCAGGAGTGCTGCATTTATAGGACCTATGACAGGTTTAGTTTATCAATACCTTTTGCAATGTGACTCCATAATATTTTAAAGGTTGTTTTGTGATATAATGTTGTCCCTTTATTCACTGTAGCAGCAGATAAGTGACTCATTTATATAGGAAAAAGCACTTTTGGCAGTTTAGAGTTCAATGCAGAATCTTTCTTTGTATTTATTTGACAACTCCCACATGCTGACATTGTTAGAAAAAACTACACATAGACATTTTCTCATAGAAAAAAGTGTGTATACCAATTTCACGATATCTAGTTCAGACAGTATTGAGTCATAATGGCCGCCCGCCCTTATATCACTTTGTTTAAATATAGAAGATAATGTGGATTTGGAAGTGTGCCCACTCTCCTTTAGGCGTAATGTATTCCTTTCTTCTCTGCAGTGTACTTACTAGAAAGGCAATCAATCCTGTTGATCAATAGAATGTTCAGAAAAACGGCCTGACCGCAGTGCCCTGCGCTAATGCAATGTTAATGAAGTTTCATTTCCACTGGGAATTCCAAAGTTTCAACACCTGCTCATGCTCACACCACACTGCAGCCTTCTGAGGCCCAACATTACTGTTCACTGCAGCCTTCTGAGGCCCAACATTACTGTACACTGCAGCCTTCTGAGGCCCAACATTACTGTACACTGCAGCCTTCTGAGGCCCAACATTACTGTTCACTGCAGCCTTCTGAGGCCCAACATTACTGTTCACTGCAGCCTTCTGAGGCCCAACATTACTGTACACTGCAGCCTTCTGAGGCCCAACATTACTGTTCACTGCAGCCTTCTGAGGCCCAACATTACTGTTCACTGCAGCCTTCTGAGGCCCAACATTACTGTACACTGCAGCCTTCTGAGGCCCAACATTACTGTTCACTGCAGCCTTCTGAGGCCCAACATTACTGTTCACTGCAGCCTTCTGAGGCCCAACATTACTGTTCACTGCAGCCTTCTGAGGCCCAACATTACTGTACACTGCAGCCTTCTGAGGCCCAACATTACTGTACACTGCAGCCTTCTGAGGCCCAACATTACTGTACACTGCAGCCTTCTGAGGCCCAACATTACTGTTCACTGCAGCCTTCTGAGGCCCAACATTACTGTTCACTGCAGCCTTCTGAGGCCCAACATTACTGTTCACTGCAGCCTTCTGAGGCCCAACATTACTGTTCACTGCAGCCTTCTGAGGCCCAACATTACTGTTCACTGCAGCCTTCTGAGGCCCAACATTACTGTACACTGCAGCCTTCTGAGGCCCAACATTACTGTTCACTGCAGCCTTCTGAGGCCCCAACATTACTGTTCACTGCAGCCTTCTGAGGCCCAACATTACTGTACACTGCAGCCTTCTGAGGCCCAACATTACTGTAACTGCACTTGAGCCCAACATTACTGTAGCACTGCAGCCTTCTGAGGCCCAACATTACTGTTCACTGCAGCCTTCTGAGGCCCCAACATTTACTGTTCACTGCAGCCTTCTGAGGCCTAACATTACTGTTCACTGCAGCCTTCTGAGGCCCAACATTACTGTTTCACTGCAGCCTTCTGAGGCCCAACATTACTGTTCACTGCAGCCTTCTGAGGCCCAACATTACTGTACACTGCAGCCTTCTGAGGCCCAACATTACTGTTCACTGCAGCCTTCTTGAGGCCCCAACATTACTGTTCACTGCAGCCTTCTGAGGCCCAACATTACTGTACACTGCCAGCCTTCTGAGGCCCAACATTACTGTACACTGCAGGCCTTCTGAGGCCCAACATTACTGTACACTGCAGCCTTCTGAGGCCCAACATTACTGTTCACTGCAGCCTTCTGAGGCCCAACATTACTGTTCACTGCAGCCTTCTGAGGCCTAACATTACTGTTCACTGCAGCCTTCTGAGGCCCAACATTACTGTTCACTGCAGCCTTCTGAGGCCTAACATTACTGTTCACTGCAGCCTTCTGAGGCCTAACATTACTGTTCACTGCAGCCTTCTGAGGCCCAACATTACTGTACACTGCAGCCTTCTGAGGCCTAACATTACTGTTCACTGCAGCCTTCTGAGGCCTAACATTACTGTTCACTGCAGCCTTCTGAGGCCTAACATTACTGTTCACTGCAGCCTTCTGAGGCCCAACATTACTGTACACTGCAGCCTTCTGAGGCCCAACATTACTGTTCACTGCAGCCTTCTGAGGCCCAACATTACTGTTCACTGCAGCCTTCTGAGGCCTAACATTACTGTACACTGCAGCCTTCTGAGGCCTAACATTACTGTTCACTGCAGCCTTCTGAGGCCTAACATTACTGTACACTGCAGCCTGCCAATTATAATGAAATGTTAAATAAACCAGTTTTATATTGGTCATCTGCTACTGCTTTGTCAGTGCTCGAGTCCTAAAAAAGAAATGAATAAATAAAGTAACATTTCAAATGTTCACTTTTTATGTAACACTTACAGTAGATTTGGCTTATAATGCAGTAGCATTTACAATGGTCATGCTTATTTAAATCTAATGTATTTGCAGTATTCTTGTTTTGTTTTTCTACGCTTGTTTCTTCATGGTTGAATGCACTTATTTGAAGTCGCTTTGCATCAGCTTAAGGAAATGTCATTTAATGTTGTGAAATGTAATGTATTCTCCATAAAGTAGCTGTGGATAGAATGTTGATAAGGCAGTGAGGAAGCTCATACAATACAAATAAACCATCTATTGGTGTCTTTTATTGTTATATGGGAGTTGCGGGACAATCTTGTTTATTTTTGACTGTATGTTTTCGTTCTGAAGTATGGAGGGCTCCATCGTGCGTCTGCCTGAAGTCATCGCTCTGAAGAAGCGCTACAAGGCGTACCTCTACCTGGACGAGGCCCACAGTATCGGGGCCCTGGGGCCCAATGGCAAGGGAGTGGTGGACTACTTTGGCCTGGATCCCAAAGATGTCGACATAATGATGGGAACATTCACCAAGAGCTTCGGGGCTGCTGGAGGATACATTGGAGGCAAGAAGGTGGGTGAACCTTTACACAGATAAACCTTAAGCTGTGAGATCAGACAGAGGACTTTGAATCATTCTGTGTCGTTAAAGAAACTATGAAACATTCGGATTACAGTATGTGGAGCCGTTAGTCATAAACTAGAGGGATTTGAGCTATTTTCACGTTGTGTGTCATTCAGTTTTAGTGTTGGTCAACACTGTTTACAGGCAATAGGAAGTTTCGCTTCCTGTTTTCTGAAAACGGTGTAAGCTTTCATTTTCTACAAATCAAAACTCACCTTTAAGAATGGCTTTTAATGTGTAAGTAATGTTGCTTGGTGTATATTTTAAGGCTGTATTTTGTATTATAATGTATGTAAAGAGTACTCTATTGACATGGCTTCTTCAGTTGGCCTATTCATATTTAAAAGCGGTTATGAAATAATAGAGTTATCATGCCCAAAAAACCCAGATGATGGCGCTTTACCTGAAATATATCTTCCTTAAAAATGAGCAAACTCCTAGCCCACACCTTAAAATCATATTTTCAATTCTAAAGCTGCCTATATAACCAATTATGTTATCCTACATTACAAATCATGTGCTACTGATATTATGTTTTGATCTATACTCAATAAACAAACAGTATTAAAACAGAATTGTACTCACCATCAGCAGCCATAATAACACGCTTTGCATTACTTGGATTTCCTTGTTTATTCATGATAGAAATATTATGATTTTTAAATAAAACTGTGTAGTCAGCTTTTTCAGTTAATAAAATATCACTTCTTATAATATTTCAAATATTCTAATAATAATCTCATCAATGCTAATACAGAGGCACAACTGTCTCTCTTCTGTCTCTTCTCCTGTGTTTACTCACTAACCAAATTAAATATATAGCATCCCCGTTGTTTTTGGAAAATAAAAGGCTTAAGGCTTTTATATGATTTCTCTGTCAGGAGCTGATCGACTACCTGAGGGGCCACTCTCACAGCGCCCTGTACGCCACCTCCATGTCACCCCCTGTGATCCAGCAGATAATCACCTCTATGAAGATCATCATGGGAGAGGACGGGACCACACTGGGTAGGTGCCAGACAATGGCTCTCATCACTTAAAAGTGCAAAGCATCAGTGTTGTACCATAAGAAGAGAAGTCACAGAGTATATAAGCTTTAATAAAGTGCTGCAGTGATGACGTATGTTTGCAGGCCGACGAGCAAGGGCTCCCTCAATACAAATCGATGTGATTTTCAATTGGATTTTAGAGTATTGCAGAAAATAAAATCTGTGGCAAACACACGTTTATGATACTTACACATTTGAACTCTCAACATATGAACCACTTTTATTATTTTTGAAGTGTAAATAAAATCACCAGAAGTAAAAAGCTAATGGTGGCTAAAAAACAACTACATCTAGTTAAGATAACGATGGCTAGTGTTCGGCTATTTCCCGGGTTCCTGGGACTCATTCCTGCACCACTATTTTACTATCCGGTCTAAAAAGATATTTGGACTATGGAAGGTATTTAGCTCGTGAAACACACAGAACAAGTATAACTGCAATCTTTTCTTGCTTATTATTTTCCCTTGTTGATTCAGCAATTCTGTAATTTGCAAGCTTTATAGGTCACTCGTGTTTTAAATGAGATTGCATTTGCTCAGTACTGTTTGTACCTGCATTACTTTCCATCATCGACCACACGATGGCAGTAGAGGCCTGTGTTTCATTCACTCCTCTAAACCAGCCTGAAGCACATGCCTGACAGATGGTGTTCAGCTTTGCCACCTTTTGTACTTTGACTCCTTGATACTCAGCGTGCTTGTTTACCTTGGAAATGTTTCATTCCCCGCCAAGAGATAAAGGCTACTATCTATGGCCAACTGGCAATTATTTACTAGTAAATACAGGCCTTATCAAACTCTGGCATGTGTGTGAACCCATTCTAGATAAAGTAAATGCCAAGGGGGTGGAATTAGACACGTCACATAATCCTCTATTAGTTGTTTTGATAATTTAATATCTTCTAAAAGTTTGACTTGGTTACTTCAGATTTTAAAGGGATTACGTTTGGGAAGAGTTGCTCAGAAAAGTTCCAGGTTATTTTCCAGCCTGTCTGTGTCTTCTCGGCGCTGTTTGGCTAAAACAAGTTGGAAAGCATTGGTCTCTCTGTACAGCAGGATGTTCATTTTCAACACTGATGTGTGGACAGTTCCTTTCCTCTTGTCCGACTCTGCCCAGGCTGATGTAAGGTCTTGAAGTGTTGGTATGTTGACTTCCACCCTCTGCCTTTATGGCTTTCAGATGTGCACTTCTTTGCCTCCATGCTGGCTACAAAGCAGCGTGGTGCTCAGGGCCAGAGATCCGTGCAGATCAAACTCTGCTGGACTCATCTCCTACACACACAAACAGGTCACTGAAGTCGTGTTTTTCTTGCAGGGCGGCTCCCCCTTTTACTCTTTACGGGGGCTTGATTGATGCAGCCTCCCTTAAACATGCCGACTTAAGGAGATCAGATTACCTCGCTCCCTGGTCATTCAATCATTAAGCACAGGAATAAACACCTGGAGCAACCTTTAGAGTGTTCCGCAATGTCATCAAGCCTTTCTCCAAACTATTTCGAGACCTTACATCAAATCCCAACCTGACAACTTTTCCTTGTAGAAGACTAACAATGACAGTGTGATTGGTTGCAGCCCTATCACTGTTTGAAATGCAGGCCTTTGAAGCTTCAGACACTTATGTAAAGTCAAAGTGACAGTTGAGCTGCCTGCTAAAGGTTTGTAGCTGAGGACGGCTGCTTATTGTTGGCGGCTCAGGTCTGCATCAAGATGGACATTTGTTGTTTGAAGCTCACATCAATCAAACATGTAGATGGGCCATAAGGGCCAAAGCTTTCTTTAATAAGAATCCTTAAGAGCACTTTGTCGGAATATTATATGCTGCTCTGTCTTTCGCCAACATTGCTGAGAATAGCTTGGGATTTCTGGAGTGTGGAAAAAGAATGTCTGCATGAATATAATGTCAGACTCTGTTGTGTCTCGGGGATGCTTTGAAGCCGCCGTGTTTCTGCTGTTTTTCAGCACGGCCAGGCAGATGTGCGTTGCTGTTGGCGCTCTCTGCCATATGGTTTATTTGTTTGGTTAAGATGCTATCTGTGGAGGCTCAGTCTGAGGATGCAAGTGAGTGTGCATCAGTCAGAGGATTGATGCTCCTTTCGTTTTAGCCCCCTTGACGTCGGCCTTAAAAAATCCTGGTCATCTTTAAAGGCGAGAACTGTAGCGCTCTCTCTGAATAAGTGTAATATGATCAAATACATGGGCTACGGTCGAAAAGTCAAAAACGTACGACCTGTGCCTCTCACAACTTTGTCTTTTTTACTTTGATGGAAAACATCATGCTTTTAAGAACAAAAGAGCAGTTATATATCGATAATATATCAATATTGGGATTTGAGACTAGATATCGTCTTAGATTTTGAAAATCATTATATTCTAATATTGCATCCTGGTTTTAAACGCTGCGTTACAGTAAAGTGATGTCGTTTTCAGATTATATTATTTGTCTTTTCCCACAAAGTCATTATAATGAGTAATTACAAAAATCTCATTGTGTTCAAATGTTATGAAAGCACCAATAATCAACCCTGCATTTTCATTGCAATATTAATATTGAAGTTGATATTTGTATATAAGTTGTTTGGTTGACATACTGAACTTCCTCCGCCTTGTTTTATTAAAATGATGATATTACATTTCTTCAAATTAAAAGGAGGCTCAATAGAAGTATACAGAAATCACCAATGTTGGAAAATCCTGCTTTTGACCTCTGATCAAGAGCTGATAATCCAGTTTTATGAAGCGTTCAAGCCAAAAAGATATGAATACCTAAAAATAATGTTGCGGGACCTGAACACCCCCACAGGTGTTTTCACTTATTTTGGCTGATTAGGCCTCTGGACAGGTTGCCTGGCACTGCGTGCGGTCACCACATGTTCTAATAACGTGCAACAGGAGAGTAAGGAAAACGCCAATCAGGAATGATGATGACAAGAAGTGTAATCAGGGTAATGAAGTGAAAACACCTGTGTGGGGCCCCAGGGTGAGAAGGGCCTTTAATCAAAGAAGCTACCGGTAGATACTCATTATCACGGTTGTTTAATTACAACAGAACAACCTTTTCACTATAGTTTTTCTCAGCAGTCGGAAATATAGTCTTCACTAAGGTGTCGAGCCACAGTTAAAGTAAAGTATGGTCGGCGTTCAACATTAAGACCTATAGAGTGGTGCAGGAATCATTCTTAAAACCTGGAAATGACTGAGTGAAAATAAGGTCTGTGCTGTTAAATATGTAAAAGATGTATGTTGCCACAACATCTTTTGAGACGAGATAGTAACGTGGTGCAGGAATGAGTCCTTAAACATGGAAATTAGTTAGCCGCCTTTAGCTTAGCGGTGACGACACGAAGCCATGCAACTCTGATGTAGTTTGTTTATACACTGAAATACATTTGAAACGTTGACTTAAATAATTGTATTAGGTTAGGTGAAAGCAATAATATTAAGTTTAAATAAAAACACAATAGGTTCAACTTAATAGTATTGGTTTCAACTAACCTAATACAATTGTGTGGAAACCATTGACATAATACATTTAATTAAAGTCAATGTTTAATTTTTTGAGTGTAGCCAAACGTTAGCTTTTTACTCCTGAAGCAATAAAGCTTTTAAAAATCATACAATAATACGTTAATATGTTAACCCTGCTGAACAAAATGTGTAAGTATCAAAGGTATTTGCCACAAATCTTATTTTCTGAAATATTCAGAAAGCTAATAGAAAAATCCTGTTGCTTTTTTTCCGAGGTAGCCATTGCAATGCTAACTTCCCGGTTAGGGTTAAGGTCATCATGACACCACCACTCTTTTGGTTTCTTTAGTCATTTAAAGGGATATTTCACCCCAAAATCAATCTTTTTATGAATAATAATAATCAATAATAACCAGTGCTAGTTATTAAGAGTTGGAGGTTTTTTTCAAATGACAAACTACACCTGTCTGGTGGTATGGTTGCTTGGTTGTACTCCAGTAGAAAGAAAAAAGTAGTTCCTAATTGAAACTTCCCACAACAAGGTCCCTTACATTTCTAAGGGTGCGTTGAGTAACAAAATGATCTTAATAAAAGATGTATGAATTTTCTCTCTGTTTATCTTCCCAGGTGCTGACCGCCTCAGACAGCTTTCAGAGAACACCACCTACTTCCGCAGAAGACTCTGCGAAATGGGCTTCATCATCTACGGCAACGACGACTCGCCTGTAATCCCCTTGATGCTTTACATGCCTGCCAAAATAGGGTATGGGATTCTCTTCAGTTTCGTATTATTTGGTATATTTTCCTTGCTTCACACAAAAAGGTGGCTATTCTGGCTAATATTTCCAATTAGTTCACATTTGGAAAAGACATAATGGTTTAATTGTAATGACTTTCCGTGCTGTTGTCCCTTTTCTAAATAGAATCTGACTCAATGTGTGGAAAACTGTTTATGATTTAAGATGTGGGAATGGCGGCGATGGGTCACGTCATAAATTGGATTTGCCTAATATTGTCGTTGCTTCTCAGGGCGTTTGGTCGGGAGATGTTGAAGAGAAACATCGGCACGGTGGTCGTTGGATTCCCAGCGACACCCATCATCGAGTCGAGGGCGCGCTTCTGCCTTTCTGCCGCCCATACCAGAGAAATGCTAGACACAGTGAGTCCTTAAATAACACTTGCCCAAACAAAAAACATAGAGAAACGATTCAAAAAGACAAAATGGTGTAAATCTTCTACGAACATTTGAGATTTATTTAGCGAGAATTTACCGTAGTGCACTTTTGGCCCATTTTTTAAAATCAAATAAAGAACTATCTGGCTAGATCTAGATCTTTGGTGGAGGACAGTCTGAAACATTGACAGTCTTACAGTGTAGCATATTTTGTGCTACAAAAATAGACTATTGCAGGCTTTAAAAAATCCAAAGTCATGCAATTATGAAGTTGAATTTATTGTATAACAATTTAATTTGTAGCGGAAACTTCCAGTAGATATAGCCATAGATTATAACTTTTTTTTATGACTACAATGGTCTGTGGCTGATCATGGGTCATATAATCGGCAGTTCTTTTTACATTTTCTTGCATTTTTCCATTTATTGCAGAGGCTTTTTCTCAGATGTGTTGCCATTAAAGGGGCCTCATTTAAAAATGGTGCAGAAAGTTTCCACTTGCCGTTTGGAACAAAACAACTTCATAATTAGCTTGAAAATAACTTTAAAATGGCTATTAGCACGTCAGCATTATCTGCCCAATTGCTTTGCATTTGCTCCTTCATCTCATAAATGCATCAGAAGGATGATCACTTGTTCGGGGGAGATGAATACAACTAGTTTCTTGTACAGTATGGGCTCTATGTTCTGAATTTGTTTATACAACTGCAGTTTTACCTTTATATATCATCAAAACCTTAAAGAAAAAGACCTCTGATCATCTTCTAAAGGATTTAACTGTTTGAGTTCTCAGCTGTCTATCATCAGTTCTGCCTGCTGGCTGACATGTTTCTATATACTTGTGTGCATCTGTCCACATACTTAAAGTGTGCCTGTTGAATAATTACGGCTCTCCAATGTGTCCTTTATTATAAAGGAACTTAGAATGCCAAGCTGTCTCCGAGTATTACGGCGCGCGCTCAGACGGAGACTTTTATACGAGCTGCTCTGTCTCTCCGAAGACACTTCATTCATCTTACTGAGGAGCGTGTCAACACCGTTTGTAATAGTCCATTTAAAGGGCATCAGCCTGCCTTTGTAGAGCCCTCGAAGGAGCCGCTTTTTCCGTCTTTGAGGAATAGCGAGGGTCGCCTGTTCCAAAGTATGGGATCAAGAAAGAAAAAGAAAAAAAGGTCAGGAGGGAAGGTAAATTGTTTCCAGGTGCCCTGCAGTGTTGCAATGCTTGATGCAGTCTCTTGTGGAAAGACGTGGAGGAGTTTCTGTTCAGTTGTGGTTTTACGCAACGCCTTCTGTTCACCTTTTGCTTTTGGAACCCCCTCTTCGACATGTTTAGTGCGATTAAGGCTTATCACATCATTTATCAAGTTGTTAAGCTATGCATGTAATCTGCTCATATTGACATATTTTTGGCATTTCGATTGATATCATACATGTCGTTTTGGATTGAGATTAATAGCGTTCTTCCTGTGTTTTTTAACAAGGTGCTGGATGCCGCTAATGAAGTGGGCGACCTGCTGCAGCTGAAGTACTCCAGACGTGAGCAGCCTCGTCCCTCGCTTGGATGGATGTCTGAAGAAAATCTGTTTCAGGATTGAGCCACATCCTCTCACTTCCCCCCGCCCAACTTTACTGTCCCTCCCTTACTTCATATTTCCTTGCCTGATATCACTGATCTTCCTCTGAGCCAGTCTCTCAACCTCTACTGGGCCATATCACCTCACATCCCACTCCAATGGGCTCGCCAGAACCTAAGTCTCAATAGGTCGCTTAAAAACATGCACATTAGCATCACTCGTTAGCATGCGTGCAGTCTGTGAACTGTATGTCCCTCCTAACTTATTTTTGACCACAACGTCAAGTCTTATAACTGTGTGCACATTGAATGTGTCTGATTTGTGCAATAATAACTAGGAATGTATTTGTTATCAAGTACATCGATATATGTCACGAGTTCATACTCGTGCACTTGGAAGGAGAAAAAACGAATCATAGCTAATGCTACGATGAACACGAGAGGAAAAAATATATATGTGTAAATATTATGTATCCCCATGTTGGCAATGCTGCCTTAGGGTGGCATCCCAGACCTCAAAGAGATACACAAAATAATGAAGGAGTAACATTAGCACATGTACTCCATATGTATTTATCTAAAAGGCTTCTTTTTCTACTTTTACTTGAAGAGAGTATAGAATATCGGGGTTCTTTCCCTAACCAAAGGATGTATATGTATAGATATGTTTTGTACCTTTTTCTCTTAGAAATGCAATGCAGATGTCCCACAAGAAAACATTTAACAGGGGAAGAATCCCAGGGGAGCAGGAGTAAGGATCATTTTTACTGCTTATTTCCTACAAATATTTGTAAGCCTTATTTACTGTTTACACCTGCACTCAAAAGCCCAGTGTCTTTAACATTTATGTAAGCTAATTAGCTACACGTGTGATTTATTTAAAAAAATCCTTCTCACTCAAGTGCTTTCATGTGAATCGGCGCAGAGCACATTGCCTCGCTGTGACTTAGATCTGTATGTATGACGACGATGCAGCCATGCCCGTCTGACTTATAGATCGCTTTATTTATTTTGAAATGTCTTAATCATCTTATTTTTGTGAAGGCAAAAAAAGGTTTTTATCCGGAAGGCAGCTCCAAATGTGTCTTAGTGTGCGTTTAAACTGATACGTCTTAGCTTCGGTGCCAGCACTACTGATAGGCATTGTGAATGCACAGATGAAGTAGTCACTGGAAGATTTGTACGACTATGCTTCAAATGTCATTGTTTTTGCTTCGTCTTCTGGAATGACATTCCATATCAACCTGCTTTTAGTGTCAAGTGTTTTAAGTTTTTGTCTGACTTTTCTTGTGTGAGGTCACCCCAAACATGGCGCACATGCCACTGTTCATGTGCGTTTTTTATGTTCTACCACTAAATTGATGTGAATTGGAGTGAAGCCAGTCAGAAAGCTGGTCATCGTCTGGCTATGTGACCATTCCTACATATGTTCATCAAAGTGATAAAACTCAAATCAAGTTTAAACAAGCTTGAGTTGATGTTTTGTGGCATTTTAGCACAGCATGCTAACTGTTTGGGGTTTCTTTTTTACTGTAAATTCAATTCATTCCAAAATTGCTGTTGTTTTTTTTGAAATAATGACTCTGTGATGCTTTTAATAAATATAATATAAAAGGTGGAACACATGACTATGATCTGGAATTGCACTCTTCAGAAATATGCTCTGCATAATAAAAAAAAATCGTCAAAGTTTCCTCTCAAGCTGTCTGAAGCACTATGCAGCATGTTAAGTCTAAGTACATTTCTGCCTATGGAGGCACAATTGTAATTGCAACCAGCAACGTGACTGTTTCTCTCAGCCAGGTTTCCCTCATTGAAACTGAGGAATTAAACTCGAGAGAGTTTATAAAAATGTTTGGAACTCTTTGATGTAATGTTTCCCGCCTGCCTACCACAAATACCTGCGAACTGACCTGCAGTGACCGCTGGAAACATGCTTATCAGTTGCTTTTGCCCTTGGAATTGTATATGGGTTGAAGATAAACCACTTAGAAGAGTTTGCAAAACCATGATGTTTGTTGACCATGCTGTTGGAAACAGGGCTGCGAAGATTAAATCACTTTCTTTGTATCAAGTTCTGGAATGCGTTTGTGTTTATTTACAGCATGCACACACACACACGGAGTGATGTCACAACTTAAAAGCTTGTGACAAACAACTGTTTGAAAGTCTATATGATTGATAAGTCACTGACATCCTGCCATTACCCAGCCTTCCACCTTGGCCAGCCATTCCATCATGTCTACAAATTGTGTTTTTATAGATAAGAATGCCAATGGGATGGGATGGCTGGTTTTTGAAAATGGCAAAACAAGCCTAGAGAGAATACCATGTAATTTAGGTGATTATGATTCCAGTAAAAATTATTAATCAATGTATATTTCACTTTAAAACTCCCTATAGTAGTATTTGCATTTGATGAAATGTACTTTCCCCCCCCACTCCATGCTCTGTAGCTCCATGTCCTGTAGCCTGCTGAAGGTTCAATGTAAACTAAACCTTGTACCTTATCAAGAACCTCAGTGGCCCAGCGCACCCCCTCCACACAGCTGTGAGCAATAAGCCTCCCACCCCCATCTCCCTCACCTTCTGAATGCGTGCGTAAAAGGCAAGTTTACCGAAACCGGTTGGCTGGGCTGTGCGCACACAAACACATCCACTCGAACCGGCGGATGAACTTCATCTGGATAATGGATTAACGCATCAGACAGATAGCAAAAAACAACGCACAGCAACTCCAGATGTCAATGTATTGGAAGAAAACACCCACCCACCCACGATGGAGTGACTCACAGTTTTAAGTAGTTGAATAAGCGAGCGCCGGTGCGGACGGATAGATTCTGCGTGGGGTATTTAACTTCTTTCTGGTACTTAAAACTCGACCAACTGTGGGTTTTATGGGGAAGGGAATCGTTGGGCTCGAGACGCCATACGGACTGACAGTTGCTGCACGAGGCGCTGGTGCCAGATATGGATAGCGAGCGGGATACCTCCGGACGCTGGTGCGCATCTTCATAAAGTGCGACACTTCCACACAAAACTGCATTTGTCCCGAGTCAAGGTTGCTGACAAACGGAGGCTGAGCAAGAAGAACTTCATTTCTCCCTGCTTTTTAGGGAGGATAGTTTAAGAAAAAGTAGGCTACTTTAGCAAATCTACACAGGAAGCTTTGAAGATGCTTCCAGGGGTCGCGAGGAGATTTCACACGCTGCTCGTGATTTGGTCGATACTTCTCGTGAGTTTGGGGACCGGGTTTCCTACCAGACACAAGAACGTTGCCCACAAAGTGAGTTTCTTTCACATATTCTTTACGTGTTGGCTTTTGTTAAGTTTAGAAAGTTGCAGGGAAATAAAAAATAAAAAAACTGCGAAGTATTAAGATCACACCTGCAGCAAAAACAATTGTGACGTCTCATTAGCTAGCATGTTTGCTAACTGTTGTTAAGTGTCCATACTCATGGTCTGCTTTGTTGCTACACGTAGTAACTGTATTAATGTCAACTTATAGTCTTACTTTAATATGATCATTGACAGTATCATTTAAATATGACAAAACTAAAAACGTGTAGCTTTTATAAGTAAATTGAATGAAAATTGACAAAATGAACGAGGTCATTAGTAGTCTTAATGGTTTGACAATTAAACCAGGTGCATGTTGGGAAATTTGAAACATGATATTAGCAAGTAATTTCGGTTATTTCCAACATATGTTCTACATTTAACTAGTAAAGGTAGAATTTCATAGAAAATATTGGAACAAATAGATTGTACAGTTCCCATCAGATGAAGCAATCAATTAACTAAGCTGAAATGACAGAATATCCTCATCAGCGCATTCTGCTCTCTTTTGTTTCACTTCTCTCTCCATGTATAGTAAGGTTTGCCATCACTGGGCATACACCCTGCTATAATAAATCCAAACTCTCTCTACACACACACACCCACACACACACACACACACACACACACACACACACACACCACAAACACACACACACACAAGCTGTGCAGTGTGTGGTGTGTCTCTGGGAATGTTTGTGTTACACACAGACATATTTGGATATCAAAGCCTGTTTGTGTCAGGGTTCAGTTTTTGCCTTTGAACTCTCCTTCTTGTGTGGCCTCCCATGGATGCCCTATTGGGACTCTCTCTCTCTCTCTCGCTCTCTCTCGCTCTCTCTCTCTCTCTCTCTCTCTCTCTCTCTCTCTCTCTTCTCTCTCTCTCTCTCTCTCTCTCTCTCTCTCTCTCCTCTTCCTCATCATCTGTCTGATTGATGTCAAAGCAAAGGAAACAGAGAGGAAAAGAGGGGAGGGAAGAAGAGAAGGGAACGATTAGTGAGGAGACGAAAAAAAAATCTCACTGCGGCTTGTGCGATTGTTCATTTCGTCTGGGTGCAGTTGGTGTGCCTTTCGCCTGTGACCTTCTGGACGCATAAGTGGTGGATGGAGAGGAGAGATTAGCAGAGGAAGGAGGAGGGGAGGCTCAGTAAAGTGGGTGCCCGGTAACGAGATGCTTATGTAACCAGAATAAGGCGAGCCCACGGCATCTCTATCACTGGAGCTTGGGTCAAGTGTCATCCATCTGATTGTTTACATTGGCCCTTTTTTGTGTTAATGTGGAATTTCCTGTTTTTGGTTTTACCCCCATCTCTCAGCAAAGAACAAGAGGAAAGGGGGGGGTTTGCTCTTTGCTAAATATTGGGACCTGTTTCCCTTTTACCCCCATTTCCCATCTTGACCTTTGCAACCTCACCCTGATTCCACCAGGCATGCATTTGTTGTCCATTTGTGAAAGATGCCGATCAAAGATTGTCCGTAGTTTATTGTTTCTGTGTAATGGTTTGGAAACAGCCAAGTGCAGAGGCCTTTGATATCTGCGGGTGCATAAATCTGGGCTGCCACACGCCCCCCACCCCACCGGATCCTGTCCCTGCCCCTCACCTCAGCCCCTGCTGCCCCCATAGGCGTCACTTTGTTTTGAAAAGTGTTGCGGACAACGAAAAAACAACTAGTGTATTGCTTGCAGGGCCCACTGCCCACTGCGCAATATACTCAGGCTTTCTCTTTGTAAGCAACACCTAAAGACAACGCAAGACCTGGTTTGGCTCTTCAATATAACAAACCTGACTCAACAGACAGAGAATGGAACATTTGGACAGGAAGTAACTGTCTCAAGAACTTGGTAAAGTTTCTGAACGACTTATGCTCGTTTTTGGGTTGTTTTAGAATTGGTAGGCTAAGGGGGAAGTCATTTTAGCATACTCTTTTACTAGAAAAAACTAGAGCAGCAATGTTTGCTTTTCTATTCTCTATTCAAAGTGTAGTAATATTAAAATGTATCACATGTCCAAATTGCCCCACTTGGAGCCCCAAAAGACAGCCACCAAGTGTGAACAGACAAACTGTTCTCTAGATTCTACATGCTCGCAAATAAACCTCAAAGTTGTGCACGCAACTTTTCAGAAAACTTTTAACAAATTAAAAAGTGTTTGGGACATGTCACGAAGCGTAAATGACGACAATGGCTGCCCCCATCCAGTCTCAGACCTCCTCTCCCTACCCTGAATGTCTGTCACCAAGAGCAGCATTATTCGACAGTTGCCTCAATATGCATCTTTTAAATCTAGTAAGAGGAGGACACAATGCTTTGCTTGATTTGAAGTTCCTGAGAAGCAGTCTCCAGATCACACCGAGGTCCCCTACTGCATCCAGATAGACTCAGTTAAACACACTGCATGCCATTAGTCAGCGGGCCTTTGATCAGAAGCACCCTGCTACAGAGAGGAGAGCAGGATCAGAGAAAACGCGGGGGAGGTAGAGAGGAGGAGGAGGAGGAGGAGGAGGAGGAGGGAGGAGGATGAGGAGGAGGAGGAGGAGGAGGAGGAGGAGGAGGAGGAGGAGAGTGATATAAAGGGTTAGTGAAGAATACAGGATAAGATGTGCAACAGACGAGATGAGGAGGGTGTGAAAGTATTTGGACTATCGTGTGTGTGTGTGTGTGTGTGTGTGTGTGTTGTGTGTGTGTGTGTGTGTGGTGTGTGTGTGTGTGTGTGTGTGTGCTGTGTGTGTGTGTGTGTGTTGGTGTGTGTGTGTGTGTGTGTGTGTGTGTGTGTGTGTGTGTGGTGTGTGTGTGTGTGTGTGTGTGTGTGTGTGTGTGTGTGTGTGTGTGCTGTTGTGTGGTGTGTGTGTGTGTGTGTGTGTGTGTGTGTGTGTGTGTGTGTGTGTGTGTGTGTGTTTCCACAATAACATGGTGCACCAGACGATGTTATGTAAGAGAAGCAAACGCATGGGGCCCATATTGCTTGCTATGCTATGATAGAGAAAAATGTAGCTCTTTCATAAGTTACATATGTATTTCCCCCATAGATTGAATATTACACATTAGCTTGGAGGCATTGAAATCTGGTGCATCTTATACAAATAAATACAAACATTTAAACATACAATTCACAAAGATTTGGGTTCTTTTGGGGGAAAAAGCTTGATATGCCAATAAGGTTATCTTCTTTTCACCACCAGTTTACAGATATCTGGGGAGGGGGCCAACTTCTCTTCATCCATCATTTATCATGCTTGACAGGCTTTTCCTCTAAACAGGCTCTATGTGTTCACATGCTTGAATTTGACCGACCACATAACTTCTTTATGGGACAATCAGAGGCAGCCAGTGAAAAGTACGCCCTGTTCCAGGGGCTAGAAGTATATATCATCAACCATTTGGTCATTCATTTGACATTTCTTCTCCTCTTTAGCCCTACAATGGCAACTGGTTTGTTCTGAGCAGACCGCAAAATGGCTCAGGTTAAATCTCAAGGTCTGGTTCAACCATTTGTTTGAGCCAATGTAGCATATTCAGGATGATATAGAAGTGAGTGAATGGCAGACCAGGGGTTCATTAGAGGGGTTCGTATTTTGGTTTGGACCAGGCATGAAATAGATATGTATTCCATTAGACATGAAACGGACACATGCCCGCTGGAGACCAACCAAAAATAAAATGTTGAGTGACCATACTCCAGATACAGTACATATATCTACAATTTCCCACCATTATAACGTCACCTGTAATCTCCA